TATGATCATTCCTATTTTCCATGAAAACTGGTTTCAAACGACCTCCTCTTCTTCAGTTTGCTTCTTATCCTTTGTTCTCATCTTTCTTTTTGTTGTTTAATCTTTTTTCTTCATTCATTTGATCAATATTTATTGAGACCCATAGATGTAGCAGTCTACTTCCATAAAGACCTATGGGGCAGTTGTACTGTCCTGTAGAGTTACTATGAGTTGGACTTGATGACCTAGATTTGTATGTGTCCATTTTTTACAGGCCTCACCATCAAACCTCAGGCATACCACTCATATTATTCAAGTAAAAGCACTAAAGGGAAATAGTACTAGACAGAAGTGAACTCTATAGACAATTTAAAAAATTAACTGGGAGATTAGGTAGGTAGGTAGGTAGGTAGGTAGGTAGGTAGGTAGGTAGGTAGACGTAAACATTGAGCCCCTGGGTGATATAAACAGTTATACATTCAGCTTGGGTACTAACCAAAAGGCTGGAAGTTCAAGTCTACTCAGAGGTTCCTCAGAAGAAAGGCGTACCTATGTACTTCTGAAAAATCAGCCATTGAAAACACTTGAGCATAGTTGTAGTTGATTCACAGGAGGTTTCCATGAATCAAAATTAACTCAATGGCAACTGGCACCACTACCAATGTGTGTATATATACTTGTGTGTCATTGTTGTTAACTGCTATCGAGTCAGTTCCAACTCATAGTGACCCTGTACAGGGTTTCCAAGGAATGGCTGGTTGAGTTTGAGCTGCAGACTTTGTGACTAAAACCAACCTTGTGGCTCAAACCAACCTTCTGGTTAAGTTCTTATCCTACAGTGCCACACCAGCATTCATATTTGTGTATATGTATATTTATTTACTTATTTTGGTGGTCAATCAGATGAAGAAAGTCATTATCTGATTGGTCACCAAAATAAATCTGAAATTCAGTTACACTGCATCCAAGTCCATAAAATTAATTTCTTTTTCAATGTATTATTTTTTTACTTCATTTCAGCTTATAATATATGCTACACAAAGCTGAAATCCGAAATTCAGATGGGACTTACCAAATTATCTAGTCTGATACTTCATAGTAACACACACACACACACACACATAAACCTCCTAATCAAGAATAAAAATTACTGTCATAATCCTCAAGTGTTTTTTTTTTCAAGTTGTTATCAGGTTATATAATAGGTCAGATCTATTTCCCATTGAAAAACCTTATGTTCTATTAGCGCAAACCTAAGGGGAGAAGTCTATGAAGCAAAATAAAAATGACAGGCCAGCAAACCTCAAGTGTATATTAAAGGAAACTTTTCTTATTAAATTTTAATTAACTTGTTGGTTTTGTCTTTTGATTGTAAGCAACTTGAGGGCAGAGACAAGATCCCTACTGTGTATATGCCCATTTGACAAGCACAGGAGTTTATTAGTTTTCTAGATAGTTGAACACTACACAGTTTACAATCAGGAAAAGTGTGAACCACGGTTATATGCATTCAACATATTTATTCAATCTGTATACTGAGCAAATAAGGTGAGAAATTTAGCTATATGAAGAGTAATATAGCATCAGGATTAGAGGGAGACTCATTAATAACCTGCAATACACTGATGACACAACCGTGCTTGCTGAAAACTAAGAGAAATTGAAGCACTTACTGATGAAGATCAGAGAGTACGATCTTCAGTACAAATTACATGGCAACATAAGAACAAAAATTCTCACAATTGGCCTAATAAGCAACATCATGATAAATAGAGTAAATATTGAAGTCAAGAATTTTGTTTGACTTGGATACACTTGCTCATGGAAGCAGCAGTCAAGAAATCAAATGATATAGTGCTCTGGGTAAATCTGGTGCAAAAGACTTCTTTATAGTTTTCCAAAGCAAAGATGTCACCTTGAGAACTAAGGTATGCTTCACAAAATACATAGTCTTTTCAATCAACTCATTCATGGAAAAGCTGGACAATGAATAAGGAGGATCAAAAATCATTGATGCATTTGAACTATGTTGTTGGTGAAGAGTATTGACTATACCACATATTACCAAAAGGATGAACAGGTGTGTCTAGGAAGAAGTAAAGTCAAATATTACTAAAAAGGGAATATGACAGGAGGACATCATACTTTGTAAAGTAGAGGGTCAGCAAAAATAAGGAAGGCCCTTATCAAGATGGATTGGCACAGTGTCTGTACAACATAGTGAATTACTTCATATGGCTCTTCTACCCAGTCGTTGTAACTCTCACCAAACAATGTTTTTGCCAGGTTAGGAATGGGTAAGAGAAGAAGGGAGGAAATGCAGATAGGATGATATGATTCAGTTGTGAGTGGTTAACAGAGTTCATTTTGATTGTAAAACAGTGGACCTCTAAAGTGGTATGAACTCCTGGTATGGCGCTGTAGGATAAGCACTAAAATGCTAACCACAAGGTCAGCAGTTCAAACCCATCAGTTGCTCTTCAGAAAACTTACACAGGGTCGCTATGAGTTGGAACCGACTCTACAGCAACTAACAACAAGAATGTGGGTATAAAATGAGTTGTATCCAAAACAAGAAGTGGAGATCTCACTACCATCAAAGAAGAGGAGCCAGCAGTAGAATGCATCCTTTGGACCCTGAGATCCCTGCGCAGTGAACCTCCCTGGCCCAAGGACAAAAAGCTGTGACACTGGATGTATGGCTATGGAGCAGCTACAGCAGAACTAAGAGCACAAGACAAAGCGGTGGTCTTCCCAGCTGTGGAAGCAAATAAAGCTGTATGACATAGGGCAGAAGACTTGTTTGCATAGTGGGATACCTCATACAGACATTTAATAATAGGAGCTAGGTTAGTTGGCAGATGGAGCTAGAACCAAGTATCTTCAAGCCAAGGCTTGAATGAATGTCCTATGGGCATTTACAAGCATCTAAAGGAGCTTTAGTCCTGGTGTGACGCTGTGGGCTAATGCGTCAGACTGCAGTCATTTGAACTGCAAGGTCGGTGGTTCAAGCTCACCAGCTGCTTATTGGAAACCATATACAGTGTCGCTATGGGTCAGAATCGACTTGATGGCACTTCACAACAACAAAGGAGCTTTGTAACATTGTTGAAGCAGGGCAGAGACCAGACAAGGGGATAAAAACCAGTAAGATGGCCTGTCTGTGGGCATTGCAGAGGCGAGGCTGTCCTGACTGGAAGAACTGTGCTTTGAACATTTCTGACCCTGAATTGTAACCTGGTAATTTCCATAATAAACCCCTTAACTGTGAGTATAGTAGTTGAGTTCTGTGTGACCTGATCTAACCCAGCTGAGTAGAGAATGCTGTGGAAGGGATGATTGGGGTCATTTGTTTGCAATCTGCAGCAATGAGCTCAAATATATCAACAGTTATAAGGATGGTACGGGATCAGACAGTGTTTAGTTCTGTTGCAAACAGAGTCACTATGAGTAAGAATTCCCTCCATAATACCCAATAACTACAGATAGTCGAATAGAAGGATAGATGGATGAAAAAAATAAATGAGTATTCAAAAAGTGTTCAAATTTTATTTGCCAAGTAAAATGAGTTCAATCACTGAGACAATTTTTCCAACCCATTAGCTAAAAACATGCACAAAACTTGGATCCTGGAGTGATGCTGTAGGACAAGCACTGGACTGCTAACCACAAGGTCAGTGATTCAAACCCACCAGGGTCCTTATGAGTTCGAACCAACTTGACGTCACTTAACAACAACAAACTTGAAATGCAACAATTGTTTTTCCTATAGATAACAAATTATTATTAGGGAGGCTTCGAAAGTTTATTGAAAAATTAAATTTATTTTTCAATTCCATTTTTCCATGAACTTCTCTTGTATTTTCTTGTGTAAAATAAAATAATTAATTTTTATGCTATTTATTGAAAATTTAATAAGTGCTGGGTACTCTACTAGGAACTGAAGTTTCAAGATGAATAAGGTCTGTATGTGTAAAGCATGAATGCTATATCTGGATCCACTTAATTTATATGAACTATTCATAATGTGAACTTCTATGGCGTTGTAGGATAAGCACTGAACTGAGAACTACAAGGTCAACAGTTCAAAGCTACCAGCTGGCTCCTTGGAAATTCTGTACGGAGTAGCTGTGAGTTAGAACTCACTTGACAGCACTTAACAACAACAACATTCATATTGTGGTGCTGTATGATACATAATGGACTGCTAACTGCTCAAGGTTGAAACTCACCTGACTCTCCTCAGAAACTGTATACAGGTGCATGATCAGTCAGAACCAACTCAACGGCACTTAACAACATTCATAACTTCAGTCATTAAATGTTGAAGAACAAAGCTAAGTATCCTATTTAGAATGCCATTTCCCTGTACAAAGTAAAACGTCTTCAGCAATACTGCCTTTTGTCAAGGAGTCAAGTAGGAAAGTGATGGAAAGGAAAAACCAAGATCAGAAACATCAGGGAGGAGACAAAGGAATATTTCTTCAACAAGATATAAACCAGAGAAACACTGCACAATATCAGTAGACTAGCACACTGGAACCACAGTCAGACACTAACCTAAAGAAAAGTAGTTAAGAAATGCTTAGTAATGATAGAGACATTGCCAACAAAAGGAAATAGTGCAGAAATTCTCTGGACAAGCTCTAAGTTCTGGGTGGCTGAAAGCCTTGATAGTAAAAATTAAAAGCCTGTCATCAGTCCTCCTGGTGAAGCAGATCATTCAAGGCAATTTACAGCTGCAAAGAGCAACTCTTCTCAGGCACTATTAGTAGGTCCTGCAGGCTCATTCATTTTCATTGAGCAGATATTATTTTTAGTTCTTAAATAAGTAGCTTAAATCAGTTCTTAAATAAGCAGTTTTTTATTTGCCTTAATGTAGACAAATTTTTTAAAAATTACTTGTCTTGGCCACTTTAGAGAATAATTTTTTTTTCAATGAATGGAAGAACTGACCAAACCTTGTAGCAACGTCTGCCCTCACTAATCCCATTTCATCAGTTCTCGCAAATTCCACTTACCCCCAACATCTGATGGATGTAGTGATACTCTGGCCCTTGGTTATACTGCAGAAAAGTTTTCCAAAAAAGCAGGACATTCAGGGAGAGCCAGATGAGCTAAAACGATCAGAAAAGGGAGTGAAGAAAACAAAAGTTTTAAATAAACATTATCTGACAAATGGAAACTACCAATTCATTCACTGGACACCTTACTTTTAAAGGAAATTCAGATAGTCAGAAATTGCAGAAAGCAAGTATTCTCAATTAACCAGCAAGCCAAACGGATTCACTTTGAGTGGAGAAGGAAACCTGACCCCACCCGTCCCTTCACTTAGGATTAATTAAACACTTAGGTCCCCTAAACGAGCTACAGATCTGCCCTGCTGTAAAACTAAGACAAAGAAATTAATGACACCAGTCAGGTGCCAAGTGTCATACGTTGTTAAAACAATACCTCTAAAAAAAAAAAATCCAGGAAAAGGGGGAAAATGCTTAAAGGGTTAAGAAAAAGCTAAATCCACTTCCCACTTCCTCCACGTCCGCTCTCCTATTAGTTTGTAGGAAAGTTCACAAGGATTTGGACATCTCCAGGTATAGAAAGTTTTGTTAGTTATAAATGTTCAAATTACAGGCGAAACTTTTCACCTCCACTTCCTACCCACACACTCCCAGAAAATGAATAAAAATCCCTGCATGAGACAGAAAACGCAAAGAGACCCTGGCCCGCCATCCTACCAGGCAGAGGTGCTTAACCCCTTCGTTGGCCAGCCAGCTTCTCCAGGACACAGCCATGCCACCAGTCCGACGCGCTGCGCTCTCCGCTGGCCGGCCGAGAAGGCGGCCCCTGCTGCGGTTACAGTAGTGCGACCTGTAGGGAGGGTGTCGGGAGGAGGACTGCAGGTCAAAGAGTGAATGCAAGCCGGGAGGCCCGGCGCAGAGCCAGCCCGGGCGGGGGCTGTGTCCCAGAGCCGGGTCTTCCGGGCGCGGCGGCTGCGGGCCCACGCCGGTCTGTGCTACCTACCCTGCAGCCCCAACCCTACTCGGTGAGTGCGCGCTCTCGAGTCCGAAGGACTAGGCTGCACGAGGTTACAGGGTTGGGCTGGCTCCTTTGTCCCAGGGAGAGCCTGTTGTTGTGGCCGCTGCTGTTCAGAAAGTCCCGAACTTGGTACTAGGAAGGGTCCCTGCAGCCTGAAGCCTGGCCTGCCCAAAGATGTGAAGATTTCCACTTATAATAAAACAGGGGGCCCTAGGCCGCCCACTCGGACACACATAAATACAAACACTCCTTGTTCTTTTGGAATGGTTTTTTCTCCCCCCCAAAAAAAGTTCCACTCATAGAGCTTTCGTGAAATTTGAGCCGGAAATAGCCTTTTGTGTACTTGAGTCGCCTTTCTCCCGCCCATCCCCAACAATTCATCACACCCTCCAAACAAATGCCTCGCTCAAAACCCTTTTCTAAAGCCTTCCCTCTACTTTCCCATTCCAGTCCTCCCCATATATTGACGCAAAACTTAAAAATAATAATAAATTAAAGAACCCAGTAGATTAATGGTTAAAACTGAAGCAAAGTCCCAGGGGGCTTTAGGGAAGCTCAATTTCCAGCTACTTAGGAATTTGCATTTTACTACCTAGTATCAGTCTGTTTAGTAATGGGAATCCTCTGGAACTTTACCAAAGGCCCCATGAAGGTTGGTAAGTGTGCAGAAACTGACAAAAGAGGCTACCTGTTTTACGGGGCAGCATATTGGCAGCTTATGAACTGGTTAAAATATCAGAATAAAGAAAGATAAAAGAGAAAATTGCATCGTATAGAACAAAGTCTGACACGAAATAGGTGTTTAACAAAGGTTTTTTAACCAAGATCGTTCCCAATTTTAGCTGCTAGCAAAAGTTAAACATTAATGACCTAATACATTAGCTTTCAATGTCTGCATTATTTTTGCTAAATACATTTTACAACGCATGTCAAAGTACATGATTGTAAGTAAAATTTCATAAAATCACACTATCTTTACTACATATAAGGTATTTGTGCTCCAAAAATCTTATCTACTACTGAGGGGGGAAATAATGTCAAAAATAATGGACCCAACTCTTAACTATGCTGTTGTTGTTATGTGCTGTCCCAGTGGATTTTAAGTCATAGTGACCCTGTATAGAGTTTTCCAGAAACAGCTGGTGAGCTTGAACCACAGGACTTTGCAGTTCAAAGCATTTAGGCTGCAGCACCACATCAGGACTCTAACTCTTACTACATTGTTATTAGTAAGGGCCAGTGGGTTCCAACTCATAGCAACTCTGTATAGGGTTTCCAAGGGGCAGCTGGTGAGTTTGTATGGACAGCCTTGCAGTCCAACCCAACCTTGCAGTCCAGTGCTCTATCTCTTACTGTATACCTACTAAATATCAGGCACTGTCAAAGGCATGTCATACACAGACTCTCACTCAATTCTCATAGCAGCCCTCCATGTGGATGTTGGATCCTCTTGCACTGATTCAGACTTATAGTAACCAATGACCCTATATGACAGAGTAGAACTGTCCCCACCCCACTAGGGTTTCATAGACTGAAATCTTTATTGGACCAGATTGCCAGGTCTTTTCTCCTGCTCTTATTGGGTTCAAACTACCAACTTTTCGGTTAACAGCCAAGCACTTAACTTAAGCATTTAAGCCAAGATGTCTCCTTTTTTGGTGGGTGTTTGTTGTTGTTAATAAGTGCCATTGAGTTGGTTCAGACTCATAGCGACCTTGTATAGGGTTTCTGAGGAGCGGCTGGTGGGTTTAAATGACCAACCTTGCAGCTTAACTGGCCTTGCAGTCCAGTGCATTATCCTGCATTGCCATATAGATAGGGAAATTGCACCTAAAAGAGAGTAAAAAAATTGCTTGAGATGGCAAAGTTGCATTTCCTTACAGTTAAATCTCTTAATAGGTACTTCTGTAAAACCCTTTTGCAAAATGTTGTTGCTAAGTGCCATAGAATAATTTCCAACCCATAACAAACCTGTATAGGGTTTCCAAGGAGCAGCTGGTGAGCTTGAACCACTGACCTTGTGGTTCAAATCAGCTTTGCAGTCTAGTACAATACAAATGCTAAGTTCCTGTTGCAGCACTGTAGGATAAGCATTGGACTGCTATCCACACTGTTGGCAGTTCAAACCCACCAGCCACTCCGTGGAAATCATATACAGGGTACCTAGGAGTCAGAACTAATTTAGTGGTACTGTGGTGCTATGGATTAATGGCACCAGACTGCAAAGCCATTTGAACTGCAAGGTTGGCAGTTCAAGCTCACCAGATGCTCCTCAGAAACCCTATACAGGCTCATTATGGGTCAGAACCAGCTCAACAGCACTTAACAACAACAACAGACAAATGTTCTAGAGTCTGACAGCAATGTAAGATAAACATTAGACTGCTAACTGCAAAGTAGGCAGTTCAAGCCCATTAGTCACTCCTCAGGAGAAAGATGAGCTGCTCCTTAAAGATTTATAGTCTAGGGAACCCTATGTAGGATCTTTATGACACTATGGAAGTAGGCTGCATTTTTGGTCTGATTACACAAATGTTGGAGTCCTTGTGTGGTGCTGTCGGTTAATGCGACAGACTGCAAAGCCGTTTGAACTGCAAGGGCGGCAGTTCAAGTTCACCAGCTGCTCCTCAGAAACCCTATACAGGGTTGCTATGAGTTGGAATTGACTCAACTTAACAACAACAACAACAACATACAAATGTTGGAGTCCTATACAAATGGGTGGCGCTTTGGGCCAGACTGTAAAGTCGATTAAACTGCAAGCTCAGTGGTTCAAGCTCATCAGCTGCTCCTTGGAATCCCTATACAGTGTCACCATGGGTTGGAATAGACTCAATGGCATTTAACAACAACAACATACAAATGTTCATCATTATTTGTATTACTGTTATTTTTTGTTGTTGTTGTTGCTAAGTGTCATCGAGTTGGTTACAACTCATAGTGACCCTGTATAGGGTTTCCAAGGAGTGGGTGGTGAGTTTGAACTACTAAACTTGCAGTTCAAACTAACCTGGCGGTCCAATAGTTTATCTTTCAGTGTCACACCAGGACTTCTATTATTTTTTTATTGCCTACATAAAAGGGGTCTGGGATCTGACCTCCCATACTGCTTCAAAAGGAAGAAGTACCTACCTTAAGGCATCTCCATGGGGCAGAATTTTGTTATTACTCTTATTGATGAGGTTCTTTACAGTATGACTTTCTCTACATTGTTTTTCCCAATTTAAGTAAGGCTGTCATTAAAAAGAATGAGGAGAGAATTCTATAGTTACATAAATATTTCAAAAATCATAATGAAAATCATAATTTTGCCAGAAAATACCAAAATTTCAAATGAAAATCTCAACCTTTGTTTTGGGCTGAAATACGAGGGGGTTCTCATAAACTTCATGGAAAGTACATATTATGAAAAAGCTATGCATATATTTAAAAAAAAATTGGAACCAAAATAAACTCTTACTAGTTATAATATATCTGAACAGGATCCAGTTTGAGATACTGAGAAGGATAAGACATCAGTTTGAAATGAACTCTCATCAGAGCAACATGAATTCTGCTAAAACTGAAGCAAGAACAATCAATGATTTATGGTGAACCTTGGGAGCAAGAACGGTGAAATCATCCATGCTTTATGAAAAGTAAATGGAGACAAGGCCCCCCTAAAATCAATAGTTTATAAATGGATAACTCATTTTAAGAAGGGATGAGATGGTGTTGAAAATAAAGTCACAGAAACAGACCATTCACTTCACTTTGGAAAAAATTACTCTTGTTTGTGTACTGATTGAAGAGGACTGACAAGAGCAGAAACAATACTCAACACCATGAACATTTCAGTTATTTTGGCTTACACAATTCTAACTAAAAAAAAAAAAGAAGTTGAGCAAACTTTCCACACTGTAGATACAAAACAGATCAGTTGCAGACAAGAAAAGATCTTTCAGTGGAAATTTTAAACAAGTGGGACCAAGATCCTGAAGCTTTTCTTGGAAGAATTGTAACACCATAGCAGGAGAGGAAACATGGCTTCACCAGTATTTTCCTTATGACAAAGCACAATCAACCTAAGAGGTAAAAGTGGTCCAGTCAAAGCAAAAGGAGACTAGTCAAGAGAAAAGGTCATGGCAACAGTTTGGGGGATGTTCAAGGCACTCTGCTTGTTCATATTCTGGAGGGCCAAAGAACAATAGCATCTGCTTATTATAAGAGTGTTTTAAGAAAGTTAGCCAAAATTTTAGCAGAAACATTCCTGGAAAGGAAAACCTTCATCAAAGAGAACTTCTCCACATGAGAATGCTCTGCTTATTCCTCTCATCATACAAGGGCAATTTTGCAAGAGTTTCTATGGGAACTGTATTACAGTTCTGATTTAGCTCCTCTGATTTCTTTTTGTTTCCTAATTAAAAAAAAAAAAAAATCTTGAAAGGGCAGTCATTATTCTTCATTTAAAAATGTAAAATAAACTACCTACATTGATAACATTAAATTCTCAGGACTCTCAGTTCTTTTGTTGTTGCCATCCAATTGATTGTGACTCAAGCGACTCTATGCCCAACAGAATGAAACACTGCTGGGACCAGCATTAGCCTCACAATTGTAGTTATGGTTGAGACCTTTGCTGCTGCCACTGTGCCAATCCATCTCCTTAGGTGTCTTCCTCTTTTTCCCTAACCCTTCACTTTACCAAGCATAATGTCCTTCTACAGGAACTAGTTCTGATGTAGTGATGTAGGATAAGCACTGGACTGCTAACTGCAAGGTTAGAGGTTCAAATCCAGCCACTCTTCAGGAATCTTATACGGAGCCACTATGAATCTGAACCAATTCAATGAGACTTTACAACGGCGACTCAGTTTGTTAGGGATCAACCTAATGACTGGTATCATCAGTTATGAAAATATCTTGACCTTAATGGAGTTTATGTTGTGAAGTAAGATTTACAT